CGGCCACTGCACTCCAGTCTGGGCGACGGAGTGAGACTTCGACTCAAAAAAAAAAAAGAATACAAATTCCCTCTGAAGTGAGACATCCATTTCACCCCAGCCCTTCCAACTAATAGACCCCTTAAAGAGGACACAGATACTGCCCTCTGTGTGACCTTGGGCAGGTTATATCATATATGTGAACTTCAGTTTTATGTCATCTATAAAATGAGTATCCACATTATTGGGTTGCTATAAAGATAGGCTTATGAGATAATGACCATGAAAATAAATAGCACTAGTGCCTGGGACTAGATAAGTGGTCAATTTCAGGAGGTGGAACACTGTGGCAGAGAAACATGTGATCTCAGATAAATGGACCCAGCTTCTAGTTCTGGTTCCACTACTCACTGGCTGTATGATCTTAAGTAACGGGACCTTTCTAAACCTTGACTTTCTCACTATAAAGTGAAAACAATACTACCAGCCTCTCAGGCTGCTATGAAAGAGGGCAGCATGTGATATGTACTCAGTAAGTGCCCATTTAGCAACTGTTCATTCAAATGATAATTCTTGTGGCAGGAACATAGGAGTCTTAGAACAGGGGCAATGGAGATACTAAGATGGTGGTGTAAGCCAGTTCTTGGAGACTTTTCAACTTGAGAATAACTTTTAAAATTCATCCAATTTGATGTTTCCTAAAGGGATATATTCCACTGTGCTGCCAGGGAGAAGAAAAGATAATACAACTATACGCTATAGATTGATTCTTGTAACAGACTTATTTTCATAGTCAGGTAATTATATATTAATTGGATTGACATTTTGCATTTTAAGCTTGTTTAGGAAGACTTGGTTACAAGGCTGTGATTTACAAAGCTAAATCCTAAGATCTTGGAGAGTGATAAAAGAACAAACCCATCAGAAGACTGAATTAAGTAGACATTTTCATTGGTCGACGTCATCTTCTCCAGGAGGAGTAGCAAAAGCAAGCACTCATTTTATCTCAAGAGCCCGGAACAAACAAGGATATTGTGAGTGCCTCTCATAACCCAGAGCTGTGCACACTAAAGGGACTCCTTCCTTATTTTCATGGGTCTCTGGTAGCCCACGTTCTAAGCAGACCCCTATTCCCAGGACATTTGGGGGGCCCCAATTTGCCCATACAAACATGATTGGGACATATGAACACCTAACCAAGTGAAATAGCCCTGTCTTTGGAGGTTGTTACTTCTCTCTACTGATTTCTAACGCACTCTCCAGATTTTCTGCCTGTTTGCATTTCACACTGAGGCCCAGTATGTGTACTTGCCCTCCTGCAAAGACATTGATATCATAAGTGCACATAGTCTGTAGCAGGCCCTCAGCACGCATCCACAGACACAATCCTGATTCCATCCTTCTGCCCCCTGTGCCAAGACTGTGGGTCAGAGGCATTCCCTCATGCCACCTAACCATTCACACCTGGTTACCCTACCACAGGATGAGGACAAGACCACATGCTACGCTGTACAAGGGCCATGGATAAGACCAGGGTTACACACTCGCCACCAGCAATTGACAGATGCAGATGAATCCCATGTCACTTGGTGTGGAAGAGAGACCAGGCCTCTGGTGATCCCGGGGCACAAGTCACACACCAGTCAAGACCTATTTTAAAGCCATTCCCAACTGTCTCACCTCCTAGATAGGGCAGATTCATGGGATTCCAGACAAGAGCAGCACTTTTCTGGTCCCATGCCTAAATTCACCTTGGTTGCTACACCTCAGCATGGGCAGGACCAGGACCAGGAAAGGGAATAAACTGAATGGGCCAAGATTAGCATCTCACTGTGAATCCATATTCTGTGCAATTCAAATCCTTTCAAAGTGTGTGCTTTGTCCTGGTTGTCTTGGGTCTGAGAGTTAGATGCTCCCGAATTCAATTCCTAGTTTTACGGGGGAAAATCTTTATTTGAGGCCCGTGATCTTCTCACAGGTATGTCTCATTCTGCCCATTTCTAAAAGGTTAACACATCACACTGAGGAAGATGAATAACATCGGCAGTTCTAGTGGTTTAAAAGCCCCTTTGTTTAGCAACTCTTGCTAGACTTTTTGATATCTATGCCTCTACAGATTAGGGGGACCCTGGTCCCTTTGTATCTCAAATAGGTTAAAACTAGATTTACTGTGGATATATAATCACTGCCTTAGGGAAAGTAATAAAAATAGTCCATGCCCTTCCTCTTAGAGCGATGGGTCTGGTGTTCTTATAGGACCCAGACACCATCTTCCCTCCTTCCCACAATCAAGGAGTCCCAAAGGCCCTTCTGGGCTCATGGTCTTTTGCACAAGTGAAGATTTCCAGCCTTCAGCCAAAGAGCTATGGGCTGAATGTCTGGGCCCCGCCCCCCAAATTCATATGTAAATTCTAATTCCAATGTGATGTTATTTAGAAGCGGTGCCTTTAGGAGGTAATTGTGAGTCCTCACATTTGCCAACAACATAAAGACAAACTACAGACCTTTCTAAATTTTCACACTGGCTTATTTTCAAGGACTTCTGTGTTTTTTAACCTGCTGAAGGTCTGATGGAATGTGCTCAGAATTATAAGATGTTCTGAAATATTGGGATTGACTAAGTTTTAGTGCTAATGTTAAACACAAAAGTCAGTCTACAGAGAAGAGAAGGAGGAGGAGGAAGAGGAAAAATGGAGAAGACAGTTATACAAAGGGAAGAAGAGGCAGGAGACACTGAAAGAATGAGGTGATCTGCTGGAGCCTGCTGGTACCAGCTCAGGAAGGAGATGGTAAACTTCGAGAATTTTGAGCCAGTTGTTGAACCATTGTCACCTGGAAATCCATCATGGAGGGAGTATTTACACCACGGAAAAGGCCACAAATAGGGATGCCCCTTCCACCAGCTGGTTATTAAACATTTACTGGCATACCCCCGACTAATGCATGCTAAAAGCTTTCTAGTTCTCATTCCTTGTCCATGTTGAGGCCCAGACACATTATCATGTCAGACAGACCTTAGATCGAACAGGCACCCTGACACCCAGAAAATAAATTCTCACTTTTATATTAGCTCCTGTCAGCTACTTGTTATTTGGAACCAATCTCATGAAACATGCAAAAATGTGTGTATGTGTTTATGTGTCTTCTCCTCGGGAGAAAGGGATAGTGATCAGAGCCGCACAGAGATCAGTGGATCAAAAATAACAAAGCTTAGCATTCAGCATCAATATCACTGAAAGTGAATTATACAAACAGTATTGCCTAATACTGGCTTTCCCACAAGTCTCTAGAAAGCATATACAAATTATCCCTTATCTTAAAATCAGTGCCTATTAAACTGCTACTGTCATTTGCTTAGTCTCTTTGAACTGAGATTGGATTTCACATGCTGATGGAAAGCACAGAGGGCCAGAATAGGTATGGGGCAACCGCTGTATTCTCTGCATAATCAACCACAGTCCAGCAGGCACTTGAAACAGGATATAAAATGTAAATAGCCTATTCTCAGGGGAGCTGCCCAGGGAAGAACTGGCACCAACCACAGAGTACAAGCAAAGACACTGAGATACCTAGGAAGGTGCTGAGCCTCAAATTGAGAGAATGCAACCAACAGATAGAAAGTCGCCTCTGCAGCAGTGGTTCTCACCTCTATTGTGCATTCGCCTCACCTGGAGGGCTTGTTAAAACAGGTTGCTTCTCCCCTCCCACCACCCAGTTTTTGATTTGGGAGGTGTATAAATTCTTGTTAGAGAATTTACATTTCTAACAAGTTCCCAGGTGAAGGTTGTTCACCATCCACACTTTGGGAAACACTGCTCTAGGCCTTGCCACTCACACTGTGGTTTGTGAATCTACAGCATCAGCGTCACCTAGAGCTTCTTAGAAATGAATACAGAAAAACTTCTGGTTCATGGGTTATGTTTAAGATTTGGTTACTAGCCGGGCTCGGTGGCTCAGCCTGTAATCCCACGCTTTGGGAGGCTGAGGTGAATGGATTGCCTGAGCCTGCGGGTTCGAAACCCGCCTGGGCA